AAATAGTAAAATGAAGTTAGGAGATAATAGTAATGGGCTTTATAAAATGTTATCAGAGCCTGAGGTAAAGTGGTGATCCAAGGAATAATGGGGGTGCATTTCACACATAGAATCAAAAACACCTGATGACCTTCAATTTGGGAATAAAAAGGAAAAAAAAGTTGAAGGTGATTTCAAGTCTTTGAATTCAGATATCAGGAAGAGTGGGAAAACGCAAACTCAGCTGGAAATATAGGAAAAGGAGGTTTAGAGGGTAAACAGTGAGTTTTGTTTTTAGAATATTAAATCTATCACTAAATCTAATAGAATCCTAGATCAACTGTTGTGTCTAGCACAGAACAGAAATGTATTCCATTGAAGCTTTATCTCTAGTTCTAATCCTGGTAAATTCTTGACCCATGTTTCAAAAAAAATCTGTTGATCAGATCTACTTCACTGTGCACTAGTGCCTTAAAACTCAACATGTCAGAAGTTTCCCCAAATTTGACCCCTTCCTAAATTTCCTACATGTAAATTAGTAGCACCATCATTCACCTACTCACCAAGTTGGAAACCTAGGAATTACCTTAACTTTTGCCTTCCCCTGTCCACCACACCTAGTTTGTCACCATGCCCTGCCAAATAACATTTGTGAAAAGTCTTTCAAACTTTCTTACTCCTACGTATCTTAATCAGTGCTGCCTAGAACACTCTATCATTTCTTACCTAGACCTTTTGCAATAGACTTGTAACTTGTATTTGTATTCTGTGATACCTCTAGGGTTATCTTACTAAAATATAAATTTGAATATGTCTCTCTAAAACCTGTGACTTCCTATTTCCTACAGTATAAATTCACCAGTCTGACCATACATGCTTATCATTTATTTTAGTTTCCTATAAGTACCACACTGTAGCAGCTGGGTAAAATTATATGCAATTTCCCTAATAACCTATGTGCTTTTATATTTCATTTTTCTGTCTGTCTTTCTCTCTCCTTCTCTCTCTCTCTCTCTCTCTTTCTTTCCTTCCTTCCTTCCTTCCTTCCTTCCTTCCTTCCTTCCTTCCTTCCTTGGTGATCCTTCCCTTTGTCTTTCTGGTGATCATCTACTCTCTGTAAGTTAGCTACCCAGATCAAATATGTCTTCTGTACCCACATCGTTCTTCTACCTATATTTTTACATTTTATGTCTCTCACACTAGGCTGTCAGATGCTACTAGTAACTTTCAAGAGTGTGTGTTCAGTAAAGTGCTACTAGGGGTAGGACCCCAAATGATCTTTCTCTTTTAAAGAGGACATAAAAGAATATGAAGTAGAAACAGCAACTATAAGCCAAAATTAAAGACCTTGACAGGACAAACATGGAAAAAAAGCTGAACTACATGAAGTAACAATTTTTTAAGTATTTTTAAATGTTTACTGTATTTAATTGTGTTTGAAGGAATCATTAAGAAGAAGAAATTAAAAACTATAAAATGAGCAAGGTCTTAGGAGAATGAGATGGGGCTAGCTTTGGAAGCAAACAGAAAGATTATCTTTTTTTGACCTGGATGAATAGATGAAAATTTTAATCTATAAATATGGAGTGTTGCATTCAAGATGAAGGTATAGCAAGAATTTGATAGATTTAATATATGACACAAGGGCAAGCTATCAACTCAGGATGTTATAATCACCTTGAGAGCCAGCTCATGAAAGTCAATTGTTAAGTATTAAGGAATTTTTTGAGCTGATTCCTAAATCATTGGTAGCTTACAAATAATCCTGTGAAGAAATAGGCAAAAGACATGAATAGACACTTCTCCAAAGAAGACATTCAGATGGTGAACAGACACATGGAAAAATGCTCAACATCACTCATCATCAGAGAAATACAAGTCAAAACCATAATGAGATACCACCTCACGCTTGTCAGAATGGTTAACATTAACAACTCAGGCAACAACAGATGTTGGTGAGGATGCAGAGAAAGAGGATCTCTCTTGCACTGTTGGTGGGAATGCAAACTGGTGCAGCCATTCTTGAAAACATAATGGAGGTTCCTCAAAAAATTAAAAATAGAACTACCCTATGACCCAGCTATTGCACTACAAGGTATTTATCCAAGGGATATAGGTGTGCTGTTTCAAAGGGGCACATGCACCCCAATGTTTATAGCAGTGCTATCAACAATAGCCAAAGTATGGAAAGAGCCCAAATGTCCATTGACAGATGAATGGATAAAGATGTGGTATATATATACAATGAAGTATTACTCTATGATCAAAAAGAATGAAATCTTGCCATTTGTAACTATGTGGATGGAACTAGAGTGAAATTAGCCAGAGAAAGACAAATATCATATACCTTCACTCATATGAGGAATTTAAGACCCAAAACAGAACATAAGGGAAAGGAAGCAAATAATATAAAAACAGGGAAGGGAATAAAACATAAAAGACTCTTAAATATGGAGAAAAAACAGAGGGTTGCTGGAGGGTTTGCGGAAGGGGTGGGGATGGGCTAAATGGGTAAGGAGCATTAAGGAATCTACTCCTGAAATCATTGTTGTACTATATGCTAACTAACTTGGATGTAAATTAAACAATAGATAAATTTTAAAGTAGATAAATAAAAAGAAAAAATAATTGGTAGCTTGAAATATTTCATGTAAGAATATTTACACCACATAAATTGACAAATGCTACAAATTCGGACCTTTTTCTCCCTGAGTTTATTGGGTTTATTGGTTTACCACTAGACTGTTTCAGGGCTTCCATAAAGGCTGAGCCAAAATGCTTCCAGATATTAGTGAACTCTAAGTTGAATTTGGAGAACATGATTATATTTTGGACCTTGTTCCTTATTTTGTGTTCCTCTCTGGTAAGTCTCTACTGTGAGATAGAAAAGGTGGTTAGGGGATGATCAAAAAGATGGAAATTAACTAAGTAGGCTTTGGAATAATGAATTTAAAATATTGGAAAGAGAAACAAAATGCTGACAGTGGCATGCGGGAAGGTCAGGGGCAATTTAGCAGGAAACTAATAAGGAAATAATGGACTAATAGGAAATTAATACAGAAATAATAAGGAAAACATGGAGGAATTGTAATGGAAGAAGATTCTGGTTGGAATATGGAATAATATATTTGTGAGTGTCATGAGGAATAAGAAAGATGTCAGGCAAGGGAGTTGTTTAGATCTCTATGTAAAGAGTTCTAGGATGTGGTTATACTCACAGATGGAGGGGAAGGAAGTATATGGTAAAGTGAAGGAAAGCAGTAAAGTATAAATTCCAAAGATTTAAAGGGTGGTTAGCATATATGTTAACATTGTTAAAGAATGATGGTAGGCAAGGGCACGTGGGTGGTTCAGTCGGTTAAGCGTCCAACTTCTGCTCAGGTAATGATCTCAGGGTTCATGGGTTCAAGTCCCGCGTTGAGCTCTGTGCTAACAGCTAGCTCAGAGCCTGGAGCCTGCTTCATATTCTGTGTCTCCCTCTCTCCCTGACCCTCCCCTGCTCTCTCCTTCTCTCTCTCTCTCCCTCTCTCTCTCTCAAATAAATTTTAAAAAACCATTAAAAATTAAAAAAAAAACTGATGGTAGGCAATAGAGAGAGGCAGAAGAACATGAGCATGATGTTAAAGTTGTAAGGAGATGAAAATTGGAGCCAACAGATAAGGTGGTGATTTGGAGAGAGCAAATGCACATATTAAAAATAATAAAACTCAGAAGATGGATGGTAAATCATGAGCTAAAAGGAGTTTAGGAGAGCAAAGTTGATTTCAACTCCCGAGTTTTGTAAGGGTGGACTGGCCATCAAGATCTCACTACTCATAGTGGAAGTAATCCCCATCATTTGTGTTGCTGGGCAACCTGGTAATGACACTCAGAGATGAATTACCCATAGGCAGATCAAGCGGGGGCCTCAGAGGCATGTGGTCTGTTATTAAGGCAAAGTGTGAACACCAAACAACAAGTTAATTTGTAAATAACTTAGAGTAAAATCACAACTTTGTTACACTTCCGTCTTCTTACTTTATAGTTTCATATTATTTTTAGGTTTAATTATATCAAAGGTGTTGGGCTAGAAGCTGGGTTTAGGGTAAAAGTACTATCATCTTTTTACTACTCTAATGATCCTATTTTGGATATGTACCTCCAAGAAGATAGTAGTTCATTGGATTTTTTCCAAAATAAGACAAAAATATCTCCTCTGGATGTACAGAATCTTCATGCAAGTAAGCTTGTGAGGTTCTATGAACAAAAGAAAATATTTGGATTTAGCTTTCTTTATTAATATCAACACTCAAGGGTTTAGTTTTAAAAATTTGTTTTTTAGTTCTTGTTTCTTAAATTATGATAGCAATATTGTGTTAATATTATGTAGTCTCTAGAAAAGAGTTTGGTTAAAAGCTTGATTTGAAGGGAAAGAGAGAATTTGTCACCCATATCTGATCCCCAGAAGTTAGTAGTCTTTGGAGACTTACATTAATGAAAATCTTTTGCATTTGTTATATTAGTTTCTAGTAGCTAATTAGAAAGGAAAGGGGGTAAACATGAGATCTATAGATCAAGTATTGACCCACACCACACGAATGTAGTAGCTAAAAACCGATCTTAAAAATAATAATAACACATCCCAGAATGCACATAAATTAGAAGTTGCATCTGTAAAAGCTATTAATTTTGAAAAACTCTGGTTTCCGGTTTTTCACTGCACAAATATATATCTTTCTAATTACAGCATAAGTGTCATTAGTATCGAGCAGTTGAGTGTAACTGCTCTGAAACCAGTATAACTTAAAGCTAGAATTCTAAATTCCTCTTGACCTAAATCCATTCTTTTTTATAAATTCAAGATAATGTTGCATTTATTCATTTTCGAGCACCCAGACAGATATAAACGGCTTTATTCTTTACCATCCTTTGTGATACATTTGAAAACTTGATAAAAGTCAGAATATAGAGTCATTGTAGGTAAGTCTCTGTTCTGTCACATGAATCAAAATATATATTTCTTTGTCCTGTTCACGTTCCAGATACCATACTCCTCAGCATCTCCGGGGAATTATGTAGTAAGTACATTTGGGATTGTTTGCTCATAAGAATTGATGTTATGTGTTATTTGGGCAATGAAATAGGAGTCCAGATGTTAAGAAGAGCCCCTGTGTATTGGCCAAGAAGTGAACATCTGATATGTATTGAGTTTTTCATCTGCCAACCTCAGTACATATGTTGATGTTCATTAGTGAAACAGTTATCAATCTGGCCAAAATTGCCCTGAGTACTGTGTTTTACTTTAGCATATGTTTCTGTAAACCAATACAATACACTTTGTCCAATCATGAAGAAAGCCATCCCCAGTTACACAATGATAAGCTTGGATTTGCAGTTCTCCAGGAGAATGAAGTATACCCCCTCCCTCACCCCCCACTCATCACACACAAAGTTTAGGAAGACAGTAAACTTTTTCCTGATCACAAAGAGAATCACATAGCAGAATAATGACTAGTAATTTGGCGGGGGGGGGGGGGGGGGGGGGGGGGGGGGGGGGGGGGGGGGGGGGGGGGGGGGGGGGGGGGAGGCGGGAGGAGCTTTTTTATGCTCAGAAATCAAAAGCACTTGTTTTTCTTACTATTTTTAGTACATGTTAAAATTTTCCAATAATTCATATACACCTTAAATCAAATTAGCAGGTTTTACATGAGCTCTTGCACTTATAAATGACCTTTTAACCCCCATCACAGTGTAATCCTTGCTACGTCTCAAGGCCACCATAGAAGATAAATTGTTATAATATTTAGGAGTAAATGCCTAACAGAAGAGCAAAGATAAAATGGTAGAAAGAAAATCTTTCCTAAAGAAATTTTCAGAGGTGGTGGCTAACTGGGGTAGGAAAAAAGGAGTGCTTAAGAAGATCAATGAGCATTTTACTCTCCGTAGAAATAGTGTTTTATGAACATAGTAAAAAGCACATGCTGTTTTGGACCTGTGAACTTACTGCTCAGTGTTCTCTTAAGCTATACAAACTAAGAGGCCTACCTTTTTTCACATTCTGTATGAAACAAAAATGAAAGTAAGAAGATGTGGGTAAAACCTATTTTTTTCTCAAGTCAATTAAGAATAAGCCTAATACATAGTTTTATGAAATTACAGACTTTTATCTGAAAGGAAATTTAAACTACTTATTAAATAGCAAATATGTATATCATCTGAAATAATTAGTGAACTACCTTCAGAATGAAATACAAATTTATCCACTTAGTAATTTATCCAGATTATTGTATATCTGAAAAATTCTAAAACCCTTTACCTGAATTGGTTATCTGAAATAACTGAATCAACCTTAGAATCACCTAGTTTCCATTTCCAATTGATTAGTAACCCACAGCATTAGCCATTGTTGCCCTGATTTCTAACTGATGTAATAGCAGAAGGTTCAATGCTCTAGATGTGTTATAGTTAATACCAACAGAAAAAGAAATAACATCAATGTATTTTTTAAACATATGAATATCTTTGAGTTTTTAGTTTCCTATAAAAAACCATGATACAAAATATAAGAAAATAATAGTAAACTAAGTCAGAGATACACATGAATGATACTGTTTTATGGATTTATAAAGGCCCCAATAAATGATGTCTCCTTAACCTCATTATACCTGATGTGATTAAGTCATGAATAATATATCAGTGTTATAGGTACATTGTTTTTGGAAACATGTCAAAAAAAACTTAAGATATTTAAGCTAAATCATATTTTGTGTAATAGTGAAATGACTGTGCACTCAAAGAAAATAAATTATGAAAAAATATATTTCCTCTGTTATTTTCAAATTAGATTACTATAGATAAGTCTAACTTTTCTCCTGTTTTTCCTTAAATTGTTTAATGAAATGTCTTATTTTTACTGAAATTTTGTATAATTATTTAGGGTCCTCCAGGAGGTGGAGGGCCACCAGGAACACCCATCATGCCTAGTCCAGCAGGTATTGTAATCACACCAGCTACATGAGCATTTGATTATTAGAATAAAACCACAAATGATAGAAATTGTTATGACAGAAAGTAGTATTCATTATTTCATTGATGGTAACAGGAAGTAGACTAGAGGTAGCAAGTAGGAAGAAGTAGTCTTAAAAATAACTATAGTCCATTTCCTTAAGCATGTAAAAAATCCCTGTTGTGTGAATAACAGATATAATCAGATTGAAAATGGTGTTGGTCTATATGAATTGCCCAATAATTTATCTGACACAAGATTCCTTGAGACTATGAAAAAAAAATCCAAATCTTACAACTTAGAAAAATTCTGCATAACACTTGAAATACAGGGATGGATCCATGTAAAGCTAATGGATTAGCTTTTCAGATCCACCATATCTCTTATCTTACTAAGATAGATATCAATAGATATCAATATTCTTTCATGTCCATATGTATTTATTGGCTAATAAACTCAATGCGTAGTGGAGGAAGATTGTTTTCTTTGAATCTTTTTAAACTAGAATTAGAATACCTCAATTCTGTGATCATTTAATACATAATGTTAAAGAGCTTTATCCTTTCTTTTCAAGACTTTAATATAGACTATTAAATGTGTTGCTTCTTGTGGACTATAGTGGTGGAGCTTACACTGGGACAGCCCTCCTAGAAACTGCCCTGGCAGCATGTATCAAGAGCCATGAAAAAGTTCATATTCACTTGCTTCTACTATCATACTATGAGAATAATTAGAGATACAACCCAAGATGTATGTAGAGGGGTGCTCATTTGTCATAGTTAATAGTGAAATAGTAGGCACAAACCTAATCCAATTAATAAATTCATTTTTATGGGATATAATGTAGCCATTAAAATTATTATCAAAGAATTTTTAATGAAATGGAGAATAAATGTTCATGATTCAATATAATACAATCACAATTTTATTTTAAAATATGTAGAACATAGAAATGTAGAAAGTAGAAGACAAAGAAATAGACTAAGGCTTTATCAATGTTAACCTCTGGGTAAAGAAAGAGATGGGAGATTTTTATGATAAAAAATTTTTTGAATTATGTTACACTATTAAATTCATATGTTCTTAGCTTGTTTGTTGAAATCTAAGATGTATAGAAGCTTGAAATTAAATATCATTGATCATATCAATAAATAATAATTTTTAATTTTTAAATCTTAATTATGAGAAAGCATCTATCTGATAATGAACACAAAATTTTGCTTTGCTTCACTACCAATTTGGAATATATCATAAATATTTCATGGATCTGTTTCCTCAGAGCTTCTTCCTGAAGTGAAACAGAAATTCATTCAAGATAGACTTAGGCAAACTGAACATCTTGCCCACATTTGCATTCTTATATGGTAAAGCTAATGTTTAATTTATGAAGGTAACGTGATTAATAAACACTTCACTATGATCTCAATGAAATCTTTTGGAGAAACCACTAAACTTTGCATGTGATAAGTAATCTGATTACACTTCATCCTTCCAAACCAACAAATTGCCACCAGTATGTCTTCCTAGCCTTGTGCGTACTCCTGTGAGCTCATCCTTTCCACAGTCATTCCTAATATGAAGCCAGTGCTCTCCCCCCAAAAACAGGTTCCATAAGGTCTATTTTATTATAAAGTTTTTCTGTATATAAAAAGAAGTCAGACATTGTCTAGAAAATACCAATCTTACTTCTCTTAGTGTTTTTATAGATGAAATTATGTTTTTGATTGGTATTAAAAACAACAAATTTACTTTTCTTTCTACATATTTAAAATACACAGCCCATTTTCCTTCCAAATTAAGTATTAAAATTAGTTAAGTAAAATTAGGCTAAATAAAGATGAAAAACTATTTTAAGATCTCACGTGTTTAGTCATTAGTACATTTTTAAGGGATGAAGTGTATTCCATTAGTAAAATCTCAGCAGATATTTATTCTCTGTGGCACACAATATAAGACATGGCCTCTTTCCTTCTGTCAGTGAACTTATTATAACAAAGACCAAAAAAAGACAAAATGTTTACTAGAATGCTTAGCAGAATTCAATGATGAGGAGGCATGCATGAATTCAGAAGTATCAGAAAACAAAATCTCATGAAGAGGTAACATTTGCAGTGGGCCTGGCATAATGAGCAGAATTTCAGTAGATGGACACTGGGGAGAAGATAACTTGGAGGAATTAAGAACAAAAACATGGAGATTTAAAAGGTTGATCATACGCAGGAAAGAACAAGCAGCCTGAGTTGACAGCAATATAATGTACATAAAGATGTAAGAATAGTTAAGGTCACAAAAGTAGATCGGGACCTTACTTAGTATAAACAGAGAGATCAATCTGAAGTGGGCATTTCAGCTTTTTCAGCAGTAGGATATGTTAGTCTAGATGTAAAAAATAATGTTTTGATTTACGGATCACTGTTTACAAGCAGCCAATAAATGACATCTACTCTCTAAGTGGTATACACTAAAATAATAAACTTTTTTAATGTCTACTAAGCAACCACAAGATTAAAGGAAAAGTAGTTGCCTATTTCTTATATGGTTATTGCCATGAGAAAACAAATTTACCTTCTGCCTTGAATCAGTATAAAAAATTTGAAACACACTTTTTTCAGAATAGAGGCCTGATATATTTAAGAAAATTATATTGTGGGAAAATAGAAAAACATATTTCCTAAATGTAAAATATATGGTCTTCTACTCTAGATAATACATAAAACGCATGTACTCAGAGACTTAACTGGAATTAGCTAATAGATATGAAATTTAAAATTTTTAATATTACAAAATGTTACTTATTTCATATGGATACACACTACACTTATTTTTACTATAATGAATCAAGAATAAAATGAATGAAAAAATTTCTTCAAAAGTTGTACTAGAAGAAGCCTTTACTTCAAGCAAGAGAATTTTTCGTTATAATCGTATAGTCTTGTCCTACTCTTTCTGTTGGAATTAAGCCAGGATATTCCACCTGCTATTAATAATTATTAAACAAATAGACTGTTTTAATTAGTATATAAGAAGCCTAACGAAACAGTGAAAACTAAAAAGCCACTGATTCTGAATGTTAGGAGATTTTCATTGTATTTTTTAAATTGCTTACTGAAGTCAAAAAGTATCCATATTTTTTAGAAAAGAAAAACTTAACTGTAATATTTAAGATTTTTAAAGTAATGTTCCTTTTGACCTGAATTATTCAGGTGATTACTCATCTATTAGGTAAATATTCCCATTTACAACCTTAGAATGGTAATTTCTGAGTTGGAAAATGACTCACAAGCACTTGTTTCTGAACATTAGTAATGACTATTTTAAGTGCTGCAGCTATTAATATGTATGTGTGTGAAGATCATCTCTGATTATTACTTTGTGATGTCTTGAGTGTAAGTTATAAAGAAAGATATTAATTAAGTAATTTTTTGTTTCAGATTCAACCAACTCTGGAGACAACATGTATACTTTAATGAATGCAGTACCTCCTGGACCTAACAGGCCCAATGTAAATATGAACTTTTTAAAAAAATTTTTGAATGTATTTGAAGGCTCAAAAACTCTAAGTGCATTCCATTCACTAGATACTATTTAAGCTTTTTCTTTTATTATCTAGAAACGTATTAGATATCCAAAAAGAATCAAATCCCTTCTATGTTCTGGGTTGACAAAAAAAATAAAATACAAAAATGTATAACAAAAGATTGCATATAAAAACAAATGTAAAACTGAACCTAATCAATTTTAAAATCTTGGTTTGTGGTTTCATCTAAAATTTCAAATACGTAATAATGAATACTATTTGAAATGACAGGTAATATGTACTCATTGACATTTCCCTCATTATCAGCATCACTAAATTTTTCATTGTGATTGTTTATTTCTTTGATCCGATAAACTTGAAATAAATTAGAAAGTTGGATGTGCTTGTTTTTCCTTAGATTTTTGAAATCTGGAGTTTAAATATGGAAATGAGGCAGTTCTACATAAAGAATTTGGGTGTTCTTTTTTTTTTTTTAAATGTTTTGTTTATTTCTAGGAGAGAGAGAGAGAGAGACAGCGTGAGCAGGGGAGGGTCAGAGAGAGAGGGAGTCACAGACTGTGAAACAGGCTCCAGGCTCTGAGCTGGCAGTCAGCACAGAGCCCGACGCGGGGCTCAAACCCACGAACCGCAAGATCATGACCCAAGCGAAAGTCGGACGCTTAACCGACTAAGCCACCCAGGCGCCCCAGAATTTGGGTGTTCTTAATAAAGCATATAGTTGTTATTTTTCCATGAAAGCTTATAGAAAATTATTTATCCATAATACCTACATATTAACAAAAAATATTTATAACAAGGTATAGTTAATACACAGACATATATGAATATAAGGCTGCTCCGATTAAATAAAAATCAGAAGACAAAGAAATTTCCATAAGTATACCAAAAAACAGGATTGAAATAATTATTATAATTGAGTTTCTTAACAGTAAGACAATAAAAGGAAACTTAAAATCCATCCAGTATAGTATACTTGAAATATTGCCAGTCATAATTGAAATGTGCTGTATAAAAATACATGCTAGACTTTGAAGTTAATATGAAAAAAATTATGTAAAGATTTCATTAAAATTTTTATACTGAATATATGCTGAAATAATTTTGATAAGTAGGATAAATGAAATATATTATTAAAATTAACCTGACCCATTTCTTTTTACTATTTAAACATGGCTGCTAGTAAATATAAATTTACGTATGTAAGTTTACATTGTAGCTTGCATATTACTTCTCTTAAGTAGTACTGCCTTCAGTTATCACTGTCCTCTTTATATAATCAAATAAATTGGTTTTCAGGAAAAAAGAAACAATTTTCTATCAGTAATGTCTAAAAGGTGTTTCCACAGTGATCTTAATGAACACTGAATATGATAATGAACAATGTTCATTTTAGAAATTCAGCAAAAATATAGAAAGGCTCTTCATGGTGCAGTTTCATATCTTAGAACTTGATATTTAAAATGGAGGGAGTGAGAGAGGAAACCCAGAGCATATGGCACTGAAGACATTTCTGTGGGCAGCTAAGCTGATACCATCCAAGTATGTTCCATTCTGGTTCTCTAATTCGATACAAAGATAAGAGATCCAAGAAAAGTAGATGTTGAACGTGCCACTTTTTCAAATGTCATTCATCTCAGCCAGAGGTAGTAAAAGCAAATGCCTGCTAAGGGTTAGGACTGCAGTTTTATTCAGTGCTTCAAGCATACATACCAATAGTCTTTGTGTCTTTTAAAACACTGTGGGGGCCAGATAAAGGGACCGAACCAAGTAAGTTCAGAGGCTCTTGGCCTTACCAGAACTAGTTTCTCAGCCCCAGATGTAAACTATCCTTTTGACAAAGGCTGAATAAAAGTTCAAGGTTAATTTCTTTAAGCTGTCATTCTTAAGCTACCTCAAATGATAGTTTTAAAAGTTAATATTTCTTTAATTAATTTATAAATTAAATTTCTAAAATTAATTCTAATTAAACAACTTAGAAGATATAGAATCTATAGAGAGAGAATCTATATAATAGTATATATAAACCAAATAGAACATATATAAATCAATCTGTGTGCTTTACGGCAACAAAATTTTAGGCAACAGAAGTGACATTATCCTGGGAAAATGTAAAAGCATATGGCTGTATGATCCCAGTGATAGAAAGCCATCTTATTTCCAAACAATCATATATATATAATATTAATATATATATATATATTATATACAGTTATAGGTTTTCTGCTGAGGGCAATTGTTTTTCTCCCAAAAGCCTGTACCTTTAGTAAACATCACCACCCCATCTACACACATAAATACACACATACCACATTCAGTATTCTGTACCATACAACATTGAAGAAATGCTTTTGACATCAGAAATTTTAAGTGGTTTTCAATAGGCTATTTTAACTGTAAACATAAGATAATTATAGATAACTTGTCTTCTAACTGGGCTCTAGATTTCCTCAGAAATATTCCAGGGAGTAAAGGAAAAGATTGAGTGGGCAGGCTATGGCTTTTCCACCACTTGCTCCACCATAGTATATCAGTTCACATCTGTTTTGTACTGGGCTTCCAACAGAAAATAAAATAATCCCACTACTTTAAAAAATGTTAAATATAACTACTATGCAATGCCCAATTGTTATTGAACTGACATAGTTGAGACTGCCTGGAATTAACTATATTGAGCTGTCCCCAAGGAGCTAAATGTATTTAAACTGCAAGATGGAATTATTTATTATGTCCATTTGAACAAAGATAGATTGTCTACTAAGAAAAATGTTAATGTTGGCATAATAATGTTGAATTATTCTTATTAATAAGTCAATATTTTTAGCAGCTTCTTAGGAATCATCTCTGGTTTATATAGCAAGCTCTGTCAATAGCATAGAAGAGAATGCTTATCCTCTCATTTGCACTGGAATATATGTGCTTTTAGTTAAGAATATCTGGAAGAAAATATGGATATGAATGAGGATTAACCTGAAGATCCAGAATATAAAGAAGATGGTATGAGGCAAGTAGGGCAGTCCAGTCTCAGAATCTGTAAGGCTAAAAGAAGCCTAGGAAAATAACTTCCAATACTTGGAAATGAAAATAACTTGTGGAAGTGTCTTATAATGTTAAAGTTAGATATTGTAACATTGAAATAAATAATTGTTTTCAGTGTCATCATAGAAATTCTCTTCATTTTTTAAAGTTTCCAATGGGCCCTGGGTCAGATGGTCCCATGGGTGGATTAGGAGGAATGGAGTCACATCACATGAATGGCTCTTTAGGTAAGGATATGAAATTTGATGTTTAGAAATCAAAACAAAACTTTTATTCTACAGAGTGGATATTCCAGTTTGCACAGTTCTTTTGTATACCTTTATTTACTTTGAATTTATTTTAAAATGCTTCAACTTTCACCTCAGACTGATACTACAGAATACTGGTTATGATAACTGGAGATCATTTGAAAATCAGAAATGTGAGAATTGTTCTAACCTAGCTCTTATTCACACATGTTTACTTTAACTTGTCAAAATCTGAGTGTTTTATGATAAAAGGAGATATTGCTGCCTCTGGGCATGTATCATGTATCCCTCACCTGAAGAACTACAGTATCTAGTATCTTCCAAGCTGGTTTGTCTCCAAAGGTCTATAGATGCAGTCTCAGAGGAACTTATGTTCTCTACAAGAATTTCTTAACTTTATTTTTGTATTTCGATGTTTGTCTCTTTTAAAAATAAAATTTAATTATATTCTGGATTATCTGAATGATTCTCTTAAAGGAGTGCAGTGTCACATACTTGGGGCAAAGTTGATTTCAAGTACTGTGACTAATAGTTGAAAACATACTTCATAAATGATGCCTTCTTACCACATGAAGCCCAGTATCTTCAAGGTGAACAAAGAGCTTCACAATTGGGAGAAATAGAGATGAGTGGCACACAGCTGACTAGGTCACACAGTGCACTCTGCATATAGGCAGGGAAAATGCAAAACCAAAAAAACTCCATAAAACAACAACTACATTTATTTTTTATTTATATATGTTTAAGTAACAGTATCATAATCTAAAAGTTGACAGTGGGGGTAGAAGTTTATGATAATTTTTTTCTTTTGAAAAAGAACCATTTTTTACTTAAGTTGGAGTAACTATGCCCGTAACTTAGGTTGTACACAGATGTCACGACTCCATCCAAATGCCAGCCTCTAATACTTTGAAAAGCTGTGCAACTTCAATAATCAAGAAATTATCTGCAACCTGTTGCTAGATGTTTGAGCTTTTAGGGTCCATACTTATTTTACAAACATACATGTGTTGCCTAGATATCCAAGCCTTAATTTGCACTGTTCAATTACGGTAGCCACCAGCCATGTGTGACTATTTGATTTTAAGTCAAAATTAAATAAAATGTAAAGTTCACTTCCTCAGCTGCACTACCTTATATCAAATGTACATAGCCACATGTAGCTAATGGCCACCATAATGAAACATAGCATTGGGAAACATCTTCATCATCACACTTGTCACCACTATTCTAGAATTTTATTTTTTAATGTATTGCAATATCATTCACTTTCTAATCTTTTAATTTGTAAAATTATTTTAAAAATATGACATTGGGTCATAGTTAGAAAATTTTCAGTTAATTCACTAGAAAGGAATTTGAGGAAGAGTTTCACATATGCTTGGCATGTGACTTATTACTTTTTATAATAAACATTCTTATACATATTTATATCTACATAATTATATATGTATATTCAATATTTAATAATTTGTCTTTTTATAAGCACTAACTTTATTTGTGACTATAACTGAATGTTTTACTATTAAAATAATAGAATAATTCTATGCCAAAAAATTAATAGTTAAAATGGTTAAAAATAAAGCTAACATTATGGCAAAGATCTGATAATTATTCCTTGTTACCTAATGTATGATTCCATTTCTTAAGTAAGAAATTAGTATTGATTTTTCATTTCTCCCAAGATTCAACTTAAAATTACAGTATTATACAGACATTCTTACTTTTGATGGATGTTGTTAATATTGATTGCTGTCAAATTTTTATGTTATTAAAATTTCTTTGGTTATTATAGTAAAATATGGCTCATAATATTTTTAGATATTGTTACATATGTCCATCTTATATTTTGTCAGATTTAGAAGCATCATTTCAGAAAATATATTTATCTCTCTCTTGCTGTTTATATATACATACATTTTAAAATTTTGAATTGAATAGAATTTATAAGTGATCTCTCTGACATTTCATTTTCAGGAATTTACTATAACAATAGTTTTCTTAATTCTTCCATTACAAAAATAAACAAAAAAAAGATGATTGGGAGCTAGAGGTACAGCTCATCCTTTTATTTGCCATCAGATGATACTTATACACCAGACGTATAAGAGACAAGGAATTTTTTTTAACCTATTTATTTATTTTGAGATAGAGAGCATGCGCAGAGGAGGGGCAGAGAGAGAGGGAGAGAGAGAGAATCACAAGCAAGTTCCACACTGTCAGCACAGAGCCTGATGCGGGGCTTGAACTCACAAACCATAATATCATGACCTGAGCTGAAACCAAGAATAGAATGCTTAATCAACTGAGCTACCCAGGCACCCTGAGTAAAGGAATTTTTTAAAATTAAAAAATTCAGGAGATATATGCTGGAAAATACAAAGAGTGTACTGAGTATACTGCACATTAAAGGAATACATAATTTGTATATGAAATTATTATCTAATAAACATTTTCTTTTCATATTTTGTTTCAGGCTCAGGAGATATGGACAGTATTTCCAAGGTGAGTTTTGTATATTCTCTGTGTTTTTTGTATTTGTTTTTTTTGGGTTTGTTTTTGTTTTTTGAGAGAAAGACACAGAGAGAGAAAGCAAGCATGCATGAGCAGGGAAGGGGCAGAGAGGAGAGAGAATCTTAAAAAAGCCTCCATGCCTGGCACAGAGTCCAGACACAGGGCTTGATCTCACAAACATGAGATCATTACCTGAACCAAAATCAAGAGTAGGACACTTAACTGAGCCACCCAGGCACCCCTCTGTGTTGTTTTTTTATTTGTGTTTCATTCCACATAGAACTCTTACTAAGATTATTAGAATAGCCTTATAAATTTTGTTTTTGAACCAGTGTTTGAAAATAGAGGTCCAGATATCATTAAGTGAAAGTTAAAAGTAATCAATGCATATAATGGGAAAGGGTAAAATGAGTTTTTAACATGGTAAGTTCATTTATAGGAAATACTGTATACATGATTAATTGATACCCAAGTAATAACCAACTTAGCCACCTTTATTTTGTCACTCATTTATCAAGCAAATTGACATAGTGTAGATAATCTTTTGAAAATGTAAAGAAGTCTGGAGCAACTTGGGTAGACGTGGGCTTGAAAAAGTTTTTGTTATATGTTGTATGTTATAATGGCATTGTATTTTTACATTTCATTTGTCTTTCAAACCTTTATTAGGCAATGCTGACATCCTCAATTATTATTTTAGTTCCCCAAAATAGAATGGCAAAGTAATTAGAAGAAAATTACATTAATACAAGTAGGAAAGAGATCCTTCTAATAGCATATGTCTGTGTTTTTCCCCCTTCAGTAGTTTAAGTATTTAAAATTAATCCTTTGCTAACATGCCTTATTTTTTTTTATGAGAAATACCTAAATACTTTTAGGTCATGATGAATTTAGAATAGTTCTCTGTGATCAAAATATATTTAGAATGGCTGATAAGAACTAATTATTACCATTAGAATGATTCTATTAGAAGTCTGCTTTATATCAATAAATACCAAAATTCATTAAAGGGCAACTTCATTTTTAATCCTACTTCTAATTTATATTCATGTGTAATAATTGGTGCCAGGGAAAATAAAGTAAGATTGATTGAACTACAAAACCTTTTAAATTAAGACTTCAGGCTTAAAAAAAAGAAAGAGAGAGAGAGAGTTTAACTGGCATGCCGACATTATATCTACATTGTCTGGCAGCCTGGCCTTACAAGTTGTACATGCACTTTGGATATCTATGTTTAGGGATGATCAGGAAAGTCTTTTTCTTTTCTTAAAATAGATAAATATTTGTCATCATAAACATTATAAATAAGCACTAGCTTACTTATGTGAGAAATAGGTAAAACTCTCAAAAGGCCTGTTTTCAAAATAAGATTCATTGTATAATTCCAGTAGAACCATCTCTCTGGGAAACAAGTTTACAAGTCACATGACCATGATTGTATTAGCTGTCTTAGGTATCTAACAATTGATATTAGCTGAATTATGCTTTGTGGTCACCTATAAAATTTCTAATTTGTATTTAAGAAGTGTATTCTAGTATCTAAAGATGATTTTTTTATACATGAAGCTGGGATCATCCAGAGTGCTTAATATCATCTTTCTAAAATTTTCACTAACAACTGATAAGCTTGTACATTAGACAGATGTAAGCAAAATTCTACGTGGGAAAGTACAATTGGCTAATACCAATTGTTAAGTACCTAAGACATCTAATACAATTTGTTTATTCAAGTTTTTATTTAAATTCCAGTTGGTTAACATATAGTATAATATTAGTTTCAGGAGTACAGTTTAGTGATTCATCACTTATGTAGAACATCCAGGGCTCATCACAACATGTGCCCTTCTTAATACCCTTCACCCATTTAGCCCATTCCCCTGCCCACCCTGAGAAAGTACTTTGTAATTTATAAAGTATTTTGAAATTTTAAATGGATTCATAATGACAAATTAAATACCGTCTTCTAATCTGCCCTCGTATCCTCATATCAGATCTCTTACTATTCCTTCCGTGCTAATTTTTCCCATTCCTATTTCCGGACAAGTTTTTCCACTATGTTGTGCCTACTGCTAATCACATTCTCTTGCCTGGTGATGTATTGCTTATTCTTTAAGCATTAATTGACTACCAAGTGTGTACTTTTGTAGCCTTGTGCACTATGGGGATATATAAAAGACTTCTTTAAATACAGACATAATTTCTGTCCTCAAGTGGTTAGGCAGGAGTTCCTTCACTCAGTAAACATTAATGTATGAAGGCATTATGCATGCCAGGCTCTGAAAATCCAGCGATGTACAAGTCATGATCTCTGCCCTCAAGGAGCTCAATATAACTGAGCAGACCAAAGACAATAAGGAAAAACTTATATAAAGCAAAGTTCAAATACATTTCAATTAACGTAAGAATTTTCCCTAAGTAGTAAACATGTTAACATGTCATTTAATGGTGTACTAGAAATGACTAGTGTGTCTGCCTTCAGATGAGCTCCTCTGTACCTCATTTCTGTACCACCCCTGCTCCAGGTTCATGGGGTTCAGGGCTCTAACTGTATAATGGGACCACTGGTGTCTCCTGTATATCCACTACCCTGTGTTCCTTTTTTCTTAGCACCATCCTGTATATCCCTGTCACCCCCAGTTATTTCTCTCCCTACCTCTTTCCACTCACAGCCTAATTATTTCAGATTTTTATTCCATGCTGTCCACATTATCATTAACTTCATTTCCTCACCTTCTTCCTCTTCCAATAGAAGACCAGTTATCTCAAGAAACTCTCCTCCCTTTTCTCTTGTTTCCTGGGTTCATTCCTTTCCATCCTATTCTTTTTCTAGCCATTCTTATTTGTGAATCATAAGACACTTTTGGCCATTACTGCTTAACAGTTATGTTCAAAATCCCTCTTAGGTGTCCAGCTACACCCTCCTTGTTCTCCAATTAAACCTGTATTTTGTTAAGTTCCAGTATTACGTTTTTTAAAAATATCTAACTCCATTTTTAATATTGTTTACTAGCACTACCTCTGTACTTTTTTCCACCTTTTTATTGTAAAGTATTCTATTTTATCCTCTTATATATAAGGTAGTAAAGAATACTGAACTGAGAATCAGAAAACCTAATTCTTCTGGGGCACCTGGGTGGCTCGGTCTTTTGAGCTTCCAACTTCAGCTCAGGTCATGATCTCACAGTTTGTGAGTTCAAGCCCCATGTCGGGCTCTGTGCTGACAGCTCATAGCCTGGAGTCTGCTTCAGATCCTCTCTCTCTTCCCCACTCCTGCTCATGGTCTGTCTCTCTCTCTTTCTAATTAAATAAATAAACAAACAAACATTAAAAAAAGAAAGAAAGAAAACCTAGTTCTCCTACATACAAATTGGGGCAACATGTTACTTCATTTCTCTCAGGCTTAGTTTCCTTAGCTGTAAAATAGAGCTTGTAGTTCATTCATTCCCTGTCTTCTTCATAATATTGTTGAGTCAAGTGTAAACATATGCTAGGGGCTCTAAAGCACTATTCACATACTAAATATCTTCCTCCTCATTAGTTATTCTCTCTTTTGTCAGCAAGGCTAGACACACTGTCACCTGCATTTTGATAGCACTGTTTCAGTGGCAAAATGAGCTCAGAATTCCAAATGGAGAGTTTTAAAATTATTTCTTGCTTAGTTAAGGATTACCTAGTAAAACTCACATGTATCTCTCTCAAAATGCAGAATTCATCTAATTTAGAGGCTCAAATGTGAAATTCTTTTCATCCCTTTTGCAACTGAGAAGTCACCCAGTTGATCAATAGGACAAAAATATTTTCCCTTGAAGTTGTTTTAGGAGTTGGGGATTGAGAAGATCATTTGGTTTATTTTCTTAGAAGGAAATCATCTAAATAAATTCTGTAGTTCACATTAACATACTTAACACTTATATATTTGAGTTTGAAAAAAAAGACAGAGAAGGCCAGATCTGATCATATCACTCTTTTTTTTTTTTTTAATGTTTTTATTTATTTCTAGGAGAAAGAGAGAGACAGCGTGAGCAGGGGAGGGTCAGAGAGAGAGGGAGTCACAGACTGAAACAGGCTCCAGGCTCTGAGCTGTCAGTCAGCACAGAGCCGACGCGGGGCTCGAACCGACGAACCGCGAGATCATGACCTAAGCAAAAGTCGGACGCTTAACCGACTAAGCCACCCAGGCGCCCCTGATCATATCACTCTTAATAAATTATCAAAGAAGTCTTTTTAACCTGAAGCTTTCTGAGTCAAGAACCTTAGTTCCAGTTAAAGATCCCACACCCTTCACAGAGAAGCCCTTTGGCTGCCATATATCTCTGCCATCTTCTCAATTTGGCCTGGGTTCTAGCTTACTTTTATCCCCTGGGAGAACCATGACTGACATTTTGTTCTTGTGGGGGGCTGGCAGAGTCTAAACATCACTCCAGAAAACTTGTCATTGGCAGGCTCTGAGGAATTGATTCAAAATCCACCTCTAGAGGGCTTCAAATAATATCAATATTATTTTATTCCATTTATGGGCAGAGTCAAGATTTCCACACGTGTACTTTTTTAATGGTAGTTTGAAAAGGCTGGAACGATATCTGAGGGTGGGTAAAAGAAAGGACAATAACTACCTAATTAAGAGATGACATGACAAATACTTGCAAGATAAAATCAGAGAATAGAGGGTCTGAGAGTATTAAATGTGTTAGCCAGAGGAAGTGTGTGTGTGTGTGTGTGTGTGTGTGTGTGTGTGTGTGTGTGTGTGTGTGTCCTCCTATAACATTCATATATGAGGTTATAGCTTAAGGGAAAACATTCCAGTTTGAAGAAAGGGTGAATGAGAAAGTAATAAAACCCCCTGAAGACTGAATCAGTATAATACTAACTATACTTTTATAAGCTGAATTCTTAGAGTGTAGGTAGGAACTACAGTACATGGTAACTGAAGTAAGAAATGTAACCAAGGTGCCTAATGTAACTAAAAGTGATATTTACTTGGATTCTCTTGTACTCCTTTCTCCCTTTGTGCTCAAGCTATCAGAGTGCCTTTCTGACTGATCTAAGCCCTTTTTGTATGTATTATACTCTTGCCTTGATGATGAAATCTACTAGAAACACTGCACACAGACATAGCTGTGGTTAAATGTAACATACACATGGTTCATGGCCACCTACACTCATAACCAATTTTGAGCTTGTGTTTGGAACCACTGTCTTAACTGTTCCTTACCACCAGTAATAAGTGTGTCTTTTAGCCTGTATCTTCATCAGGTTGCTCCCTGATCATGGATAGCACAATTTCTATAAGACTCTGCATTGAGAAATCTCAGTTGTTTTCACATTTTGCAGAGATTAGGTTAAAAAAATAAAAACAAACAAAAGTTTGTCCTATCATTAGAATATTTTCAAGTATGCTCACTGAGCTGAATAAGTTTCAGAGATCTGATATTAGCTGTTTTTGTATGTTGAATGTGTCCTTTTAATCTTCCTCTCAGTGTTCATATATATCTTCCTCCCATCCCCCCAAAAGTACCCTGCTACCATGCCATGAATAGACTGCATGGAAAACAGAAATAATAAGAGAGGTGTTATATAAGTACTTAAATAATGATGCAGTGTTACTTTCAAATTTTAAATATTTTGAAATCAGCATTTTGGGTCAGGAATTCGATTTGAAGCTAGCTAACTTTCAAAATTGTAAATCAAGAAGTGACGCATGGGACAATGCAACAGAGACAGAGAGCACCCCAACTGCATCAAAGTTGTGCTGCTCATTTCAGGGTACCTCGGGTACCACAGGGAGCACGTTTGTTACACAGGAATGAAGAAGTTTCCAAGTGCATCTTCAAATATCCTTACATACAAGATTATTTTTTTATTCTGGGGTTACCAGTTTCTTATATATACATTGACAGCTCTCTGCTTTCACCAAAAAGATTTTGGGTAAATCTTATAAAAGTTGTATAAACTTATTTTTCTTTTTGAACTAAATCAGCATTGGGACGCCTGGGTGGCTCAGTTGGCTAAGTGTCCGACTTGGGCTCAGGTCATGAGCTCATGGTTTGTGGGTTCAAGCCCCGCATCGGGCTCTGTGCCGACAGCCAGCTCAGAGCCTGGAGCCTGCTTCAGATTCTGTCTCCCTCTCTCTCTAACCTTCCCCTGCTCACGCAGCCCCTCTCTCTCTCTCTCTCTCAGAAATAAATATTAAATAAATAAATAAATCAGCATTAGCATTCCTGTTTTCAAGACACAGTTGATTGTTTAGTTAATAAGTTTAATAATTAATGAGCTATAAAATAATACACTTAAATTTTACTTAAATTTTTTCTGCAATGAAGTTATCTATGTTCATTTGAAAGTACAGTTACTTTTCTGTGTACTTGGGAAACTAACATTTTCAGAGAAAAATTTATCCAAAAAAAAAGAGAAAAGAATCCTCTTTATACTATTAGCTGTGGTTCCCCAGCCCTTGGGGTTCATTGGCAAATCGAGCTCCTGTGAACTTCAGAGGATCCTTGTTCTCAGATCTTCCCTATAGGGTGCACAGCGGGACAAGATATAAGCTGTATTTCCACCAGTTCATCTACCTGTCTCTGCTTTACAATTTAACTCTATTCCAAAACAGCACACATTCTTCTGGGAATAACTCATTCATGAAATTTTAATTTTTATGACATAACTTTGTTTTAGTTAAGTCAAAAATCTTCAGAGCAATTTTCTTTTAAAAATCTAGAACTTACTCAAAAACAGAATATAAAATAGAAATGGCTTAGAAAAACCCTATAATCGCCCTTCCATTTGAAATAACAAATAAAAAATTTTAACCTTGATTTTTACAAGTCAGTAAATTACACTTGGAAAGAGTCCCTCAGTCACAGTTGCAATATTGTGTGAACATGCCTTATATGGCAAGGCCTTTCTGTATTTCCTGTTGGTGTGGAGTAGCAAATGACCTCCCACAGCTAAACTGGCACAGTAATAACAAGACTAGCAAATTCAAATGGAATATGAAGCAATATGCAGCATTGTGTTTGATTAGATTGCTCCTATCAGCCATTTTATCTTAAAAGAAAGTTTCAAAGTAAATCTACTCTTAAACTAATGCTGGGGAAAGATTCTAAAGCAGTTTACTTTGGGCCTTCTTTTCCTCTACAAGTGCACATTGGATTTGAAAGTCCTAAGGTAGTACTCTTGTTCTTAACTACACAGGTCAACCATCTTCCTTTTTTCCCACAGTTCATGTAAACACAAATAGTTGCAATAGTGTTACTGTGTGAACCACATGTAGAATTAAGGGGAAATGTTCTCAAACAGTGACCTTTTGAAGTTTGATTAGTGAAATTACCAAGGCAAGTTATTGTTCCATCGTGCCTCATCAGTGGGTAGGCTCTCTTCATCATGGCCCTGCTGGGAATGTTTTTTAAATTCCATGGAGTTCCAGGAACTGTAGAAGCTGAGGGTGGGATATTGAATAAATATTGATTCTGAGACTAAGAAGAAAGTTGTGGTGGGTTATTTGGGGGGGGGGTTGTTTTTTAATTTCCATTTGGGAAAGTATTAGTACTTGTCAAGGTGTAAAGAGTGAACTAGAATGCACAGTAGAAGAATTATAGATTAGTAGATTAAAATTATAAGTCTGCTTTGTCCTTAGAGATGCTGCTGTCGGTTTCATTTTTGAAACACTACAATACAAGAGGGAAATTAAAATCTTCAACAATGCCTTGTTTTCTAAATCTTGTTTACAGAATTCTCCCAATAATATGAGCCTGAGTAATCAACCGGGCACTCCAAGGGATGATGGCGAAATGGGGGGAAATTTCTTAAATCCTTTTCAGAGCGAAAGTGTAAGTATTCCCTTCCCTGCATTATTATGTCCAAAATTGATTTCTGAAGCTCTCCTATTAGAATGTATTTATAAAGCCATTATGATTGTTTATCTAGAGCTCAATAGATTGATCTTTAAAAGTTAGAAAATTAAGTGGAATTTCTTTGGAAAAATTAAAAAATAAACTTTTTTCTTTTTTTTACTCCTATTATGTACATAGTTATAAAAACAAAAACTATAAAACTAACTTTCTCATAGAGAACATCTATTATAAAGCAACATGCTGGAGACAAGTTGCATGCTTACAAGTTTTCATGTTACTAAAATGGCTTGAGTCACTGCAAAACCAGGTCTGGTAAGATTTCTACTTCATGCACTAGACCTCATTGGACTGAAGGCCAATACTGGTGGTCAGTTAGCCTGTTACTTCCTTGTAACCTGAGCTGGACACCAGAGTCATTTTTTGAGTATGATTACTGCGTTAAGCAAAGGCAGTGTCATTCCATATCTGCAAAGAAGTAGACAGGAGTAAAAAGAGAAGGAATAAAATCCATTCGTTCATTTACCAATTACTGAGCACTTACCACAGGCCAAAGCAATATGCTACACACTGGAGAGGCCAAAAACACAATATGGTGTCTTTTCTCAAGGAGTTATTACATAATACAGTGATTTTTTTAACTTAATATTTCACATTAAAAACACCTATGGAATTTTTAAAAATACAGGTTCCCAGAATTCTCCCTAGACCTAGTGAATCAGAATTTCTAGGAGTGGGACTGGGCATACTTGAAAATGAAAAAGCTTTGTCAGTGATGTTAATCTACATTCTCTGCTAATAACTACTGAACTGGAATATAGCATAAAGGATTTCAAAATCCCAAACTAATTTCATCTTCATAAGATTAGTGCCCCCACATATGGATTTCTGTCATTAAAATCAGAGGAGAAAACTTCACCCATTTTGCCCTAACTCAACCTTTACTAGAATGATACTATTGGAATTTGAAACAGTGGCTAGCTAGTAACATATGTACTTTTGCATGGAATGGCTACTTCCAACCTAAGATTGAAAGTTCTGTGGATTCTTTTACTTCTTCTTATCAACTTAACACCTCTGTGTGGGATAAGACTTCCCCTGCATTTAGACTTTACTTCTGTTAAAACTATAAGTAAAATTATACTGATCTTTATCTGTATAAATCTTATACTGGTCTTTATGTGTATTAATTTGCAGTATATACATAATTAGTGAGGACAAAGAATGTACACATAAAAATTCATATAAAAAATCAGAAGACTAGCTTGTCATAATGCTTAGGATTATAGGAATTATTTTTTATGTTTAGATTAGATTTTTAGATTTTAGTGAAACTGGTTTTCACTAGTTTGCTTTCAGCAATAAAATGGTATAATTCAGGGAGGTATGGATACTTACTTAATTCAATTCAGTTCAACATTTCTTTTTTTTTTATTATTATTTCTAGGAGAGAGAGAGAGAGACAGTGTGAGCAGGGGAGGGTCAGAGAGAGAGGGAGACACAGACTCTGAAATAGGCTCCAGGGTCTGAGCTGGCAGTCAGCACAGAGCCTGACGCGGGGCTTGAACCCACGAACCACGAGATCATGACCTAAGCAAAGTCGGACGCTTAACCGACTAAGCCACCCAGGCGCCCCCAGTTCAACATTTCTTAAGCCTCTTATTGCAACGTGCTTGGTTAAGGACAAAGTATACTGAGATACATATAACACATCACTAACCTCAAAGAATACAATCTGATGGGAATAACGTTAAAACTAATTAAACCATATGTCAGATTAATAGGTACTATGATAGAAGTCAGTTTTTTAAGTATAAAGGAAAATATTAATTTGGGATTGGAGAAGAAAACTTTTTTAAATGGCCCCACATGACTTTTGTTTTAGGGACAGGGACAACAGACCTCTCCCCTCTAGATTTGTCCTCAGTGACTGCTGCCTTGTTATACAGTCAGCAGAGAGGTGCCACTTTAGGGCTGGCATCAGAGAGCTCTCCAAGGGGATCAAAGAATCAGATATAATAGGACCTGAAAAACTTCTTTGCAAGGAATAAATAAGAGCATCACCCTTTAACCTTAACTGGACTATGCACATGCGAAACAGTAGATCCTTTTCTAAATACGTGCATAGGAAAGAGAGCAGATGGAGCTGAGCTCCCTTCTCTGACTCCTGGCCCAGTCTCACCATTCCAGAAGCCAAGAAGAAGGTAAAATGCCAGACTGCTCTACAGAGTTATAGCAGAAAACAAAAGTTCCCTCCTATCTCTTTCTTCCCTCCTCCTCCTGTCCCCACTTGAAAAGTCCCCAAAAGAAAAGCAATTGGATGATGATTGAGGAACTGTACCACCACCTAGAGACAGTGCAGCCTTGGAAGCATGTCCACACTGGCTATTCCACTCTTTTGTCTGCCCGTGGAGGGCTCTGCTATATTAGGAATGATGTAATTGTTATCCCCGGCTTTCTGCATCATACCACCACACATTTTTGTTTAGACCTTTTTAAAAGATCAAGAAATGAAGAGCAGAAAGAAAGAAAGACAAACGACTTCACTGCTGACAAATCTAAGGCATTAAAGTAAATAGGCTAGGTATCCAATAAGTTAGCTTTCCCGTAATCAAGGAAAAATAGAACTATATAATGAATTTAAAAAGAAAACATTTTTGAATGAATGAACATGTAAGTTCTAGTGTTTTTTTTAATGCATGTAACTCTGAAAAGCGCATAATTTGGAGTAGTCTGCCTTTTGAGGATTTGTCAGTCCCATCTTGAAGTTAAACCACATAAGGAGGCCTGGAAAGAGTGAACATCTACCAAGCGCTTTTTATGTACCAGAGACTATCCTAGTCACTTCACACATGCTACTTCATTTAATTAATATTTATAGGAACAAAATACCCAACCCGGAGTCAGAAACCTTGCAGTGCCAACATGCAACACACAGAAAAATCTGAATCAAATGTTTCACTACTCAGCTTTTTTTGAAATCATAAACAAGACCTTTAATTCAAGAAACAAACATGCCCCCTAGTGTTCAAATTTTGCAAAATATTTTTGAAAATCTAGACTACAAAAAGGCTTATTTCAGAAAGTAGTTTTTCATGCTTCTCCTGTAACAAAAGCAGTTAGTCCCGTTTCTTGAATTAATTTAGCAGAGTACTTTACTCCATGGCAATGAACAATAATCAATTGAGTAAAAGTGATATTAAAAATCATGGTCTCTACTAGCAATTATAAACAAGATAATAGGTCATCTCCTATACCCTTACTCCCCTTTTTCATTTTCTATTATAAAGACGCCATATACATTCAAATGTTCTTTTATACAGTCATATAAACACTAAATTTATTTCACTTTAGTTCAGTTCAGACTAGCTGCCCTATTCTTTATTTACCTCTCATTAAGAAAATAAATCTAGATGCTTAGAAATAGAAATGATATAAGATCTGAAGTGTTCTTAAAGTGTGTAAACAGGAATTTATACACACTGTGCAAAGGCTGAATGGATGTTTGGTGGGTTCTATGCTTTGTGAACTGTGTATAATAAGGGGAAAATCACAGATTCACTAGTTTATACCAAGCCATGCCACTTCAAAATATATTTTACATAAAAAGGTAAAATCAGTTAGTACACATTTGAAATTATACCATTAGGGTTTTGTTTGTTTGTTTGCTTTTGCTAAGCCAAACAGTTAATGACTTTGTAAGAGCCATTATATCATTTGATTAAGGAGAACCAGACTCAGAATAGTTTGGAAGCAGGGCAACCTCATATCACAGCATTTTGGCAGACATCACAATACATCATCCCATATTGATGCAGCAATACAAGAGAAACATTGTAGTGTCATCTCAGGACAGTACACCATGAATATTTTATGTCTCTAGATAGGAGATGCCATTTAACACCTACTCTTCCTTTACTTTAGGAAAACCGTAAGCCATTTCTCTTACACGTTGAAGAATAGTAATCAATAACGGAATTCCTTTTTGCTTGCACATTCTGTGAGTCCTCCTAGAAATTTTGTGATTTCCCTTATTTTACTTGGATGAAGCAGTTTCAATAAAGGCAGTAGCAGATGAGCAGTTTACAACCTCAGCAGTGCAAACAGCACATTGCCCATATGGACGCTTACACATCTATACATATCTACCAAACCAAATACACTGAGAGCATCACTTTACAGTTACTGGTACTATTCAAAAATTATATTAAATGTTTGAGACTTTTTCTGAGTTGTAGTACATGGAGCAGATGCTTCTATCCTTTCTGACTGAATCTGGCCCTTATTGTTTTTTTAATCCTGATTATTCAGAATGTGTATTAAATGAGATAATTTCTAGAGTTAATTATGACTTATCTAGAAATTTTTTTCAGAAACTTCTTTTGAAGTGCTTTCTGAAATGCTTCAGTATCTTCTACTGTTTTTAGATGATTGCCACCATATACCCATAAAATCTTTTTCTTAAAACAGTGATTGATGATCCTGTGATGGTATTTAAATTTAAATTAATTAAAATAAAATACAGCTAAATTTTCAGTTCCTAAATTGCACTAGCTACATTTTAAGAGTTCAGTAGCCATGTGTGGCTAATGACTCTTATATTGAACAGCACAGAATGGAATGTATCCAGCCTCACAGAAGGTTCTGTTGAACAGCACTGATGGGATCACCATTCTTATTGTAAGCAATAGTAGCCATTGAAAGCATAGATTAAACTTTTCCATGCCCACTTTGCTATATTCTCTCATTTTTTCTATTGAGTAAAACCTTGGTATCCATGTATTTTCTTTTTAATTCTTGCCCCTAGAGGTCATATATACAAATGTAATTCTGTTTCTGAAAGGCTGTGGCTAGTTCACTGAAGCTTTCTGTCATTATTTATAATAGGAGATTTGCATGGTATCTTCTGATGAAATGAAGGCATATCCCCCTTCTGGTACAGCGGCAAGGTGGGCTCCATTTCATCAGGTTTTGTCTTACCGCTTTGGGCTTTAGGTTTTGGTTTGTTCTGCTGTGCTTTTTTGCTACCAATATCAAGGGTAAAGGCAAAGAGGTCCTTCTGTCAAACTGCATCCCCTTCTCTTCTCTGGAAGTCTCCCTTTTTATCACCATACTCACTGTAATCCAACATTAGAGTCAGTCACATATATAATTTAGCTTTCCAATACTGAAAGGAAATTTGAGGCCATTAAGTGATTAACAAGTAGATTTTCCATGATTTGACCTGCATTTAAAGGATTAACAATCATCCCCCTATGATCCAGTGACTCGTTTTCAAGCCCACTCATCCACCTTTCTCAGGCCTACATTTACCCCTAATGATTTTCTGTCCAGACTCTGTCAGCAGAGCCATTCCCCAGGGCATCCTGCTTTCCCTGTAAAATCCATCCTTCTCTCAGTATACACCTGACAGCTCATTTCTGGTTCCTACAGTACCTCAGCTCATCTAGAATGTACTTCATTCTGTTCGGCCTGCTTTCTTTTTTAAAAGTTCACACTCCCCTTTCCAAGATCATCACTTTTCCTGTGGAAGGCCCTACTGCTAGGGACCAATGCCCTTGACTTCACCTGCCTCTTTCCATGAGACACAATCATTATTAACATGTTTAAAGGAATTCTCCTTTGGCCTAGTCCTCACCAAATATTTTTTAACAAAATATTTAAACGTTTACATTTACATTTTCATCTAGAGACCTTGTTCATCTGGAGACCATTGCTATTTGGGAGTGGATGCCTTCCCCACACCTCAAACAGTCTGGAACTATGCTGTCCAAAATAGTACCCACCAGCTACATGGGAATATTTAAGTTTAAATAAATTATGTGACATTAAAATTACAGTTCCTCAGTTACACTAGCCCATTTCATGTGCTCAGTGGCCACCTGTGGCTCATGTCTTCTGCATTGAAAGGCACAGACGTGGCCATCGTTGATGAAAGTTCTGTCAGACGGTATTGCTCTGGAGCTTTCCTGTCAAAGTCCATTCCTCAAGAATACAAGTGTAGATTGGCATAATTATCACAATAATTGCTCTTTGTTCCTCTCTCAGTAATTTCTGAAACCCTCATCTTTTACCAGTTGTCAGCCTCATCAAACTGAAAAGTCATATGTAACAACCCCACCCTAAAAATATTGTGGACTGAAATTGGAACCACAGATTAGGGAAGACACTTAACATCCTTAAGTGTAAATCATACTCTTAAGTATTCTAAACACTTTACAAGAACTCCTTGGGCCAGCTGCGAGTTGTTTTTTGTTTTTCTTTTATTCTGTTTACCTTACACTATTAATTAGACATTTAATAATCCTCCCCAAGTTCCTTTAAGATAAATGCTATTGTTAAATCCATTTCACCCATGAAGAAACTGAAGCACAGAAAGGTCAGGTAACCTCCCAAGTTTACATAGTTAGTAGGTCATGAAACTGTCCCTCATATTTATTTCATTATGGATTGGATTTACCCAGGTTGTTACAAATGCCCAGAAAACATGAATCTGGCTAGAAGGAAAAGACTGAGGGCCTGGGTAATTATCAACCATCCAAGCGCAGGAAGACAAGGAGACTGGTCGCTTTCCAGAGGAAATATTATAAATTTCAGGACTTAGTCAATTCTATGTAAATTTACTCTTTTATAGCTACTTATTTTTATGTTATATGAGGTTAAAAACTTGAGCATAAAAGATTTCAAGACATTAAAATCCATGGTTACTACTGTTTACCAAGAAGAACATTAGTGGTCTGTAAAAGAATTGTTGTTAAAATATGGATTCTCTTTTCTTTCTAGTACTCCCCTAGCATGACAATGAGTGTGTGATCCATTACCAAGTCTCCTCATGAAAACCACAGTGAGTCAGCCCTTCACAGAACTACTACGGAAGAAAATTATTCATCACAGTGTACAGTTAAACAAAGGAATCTCAGTCACACCAAACCAACCTTTTTATTTCCTGCTCTCTCCCCTATTTTTTGAAGAAAGCGGGTCCAAACGTGATTCAAACAACTGTACAGAGTGGCATATTAGAATTGCCCTAAACTGAACTGCAAATAATTATCTGTGTATGTATATGTGTGGGAAAGAGAATGTATTGTATATGTGTATGTTATATGGACATATGCACATACATACATTGACCCACAGGACATTGTAAAATATTATTACATGACATCTTAAGTAGAAATAAGTAGGGACTTTTATTCCATCCTTTTTTTCACGTTTACATTTTAATTATTAAAAGTTGCTCCTGCCCCTCCCTGAACTATTTTGTGCTGTGTATATCACTGCTTTATATAAGTTATTTTTTAAGGTGAACTCAGATGTTATGGTTTTGTAAATGTCTGCAATCATGGATAGGAATAAAATTGCTTATTTGAGAGCTTTCATTAAATTGCGTCTGATGCAAGTTATCCTGTGAATCACAAAGTGTACTGTCTCAAAAAAAAAAAAAAGGAAGAAGGTGTGTCCTCATCCTCTGTCAAATGAAACAATTTGTCAGTTACTTTGGTGAAAAGTATTTTTGTACTTTTTATTTAGGAAAATACTTCAACTGGGGCCAAACACCATATATTTCTGCAAGAACTGCTTTAGATGGAATTCTTGATTTGTCTTTGATGATATAGAAAATCATTAATTAGCCCCACCTGCTTAGACCATAGCAATAAAATGACAGGGGTCATCATAATTTTAGAAACATATTTTCTCTCTAACATGATGAAGCCCAGAAGTGATGACAAAACCATTTGCTTGAATTTGTCACTTTTCACCAGGAATAGTAGAGCTAAATTTTTAATAACATGCTAATGGAAAATGGTATCTGACTTTTACTCAGACTTATCATGAACGTTTCCACATAGACACTGCAAAGAATATACATTCAAATGACTGAGACTTTCAGCAGAAGGGGAAAAGAGTTTTACTGCACCCGATCGGCTCTGAAGTGCTGCTTTTCTATCCAGGTAGCTTGCTGACTAGTAGCAGAACTGACTGGTAACAGTCTCATCTGTGAATATCTCACTGGCAGCGAGGTCCCTGGTCTATTCCCAGGATGTAAAACTTTTGTTTCAAGGGAAATCATTTGTAGTAACTGTATTCATCTGGCTGCTGACTTCACCAGGCTAAATCTACATTGTGTAACTGTTCAGAAAAGAATGCATAAATGTTAAAAATTAAAGAAAAAACCGAAACACTTCCCTTATGCTAAAACACATTGTTCTGTGGCACTTTGCAGATCTTTTGGGGGGTTTGTGTATAATCTTACAAACAAACACCAAAATAATAATAGAAAAATGTGAAGATTTTAATTTTAGACTCCAAAAGATATTTTGGTGATCATTTCTGTTAAAACTGTGATACAAATAACCATCAGTAAGCATCAACTTTATAGCCAAACTCCAGAGAATTTGAAAAGTGTTATTTAATCACAGGTAAGAAGAATCATCCTTTCTTTAGGCTTATGGTCTCCAAAGTGAAAATTTAGCAATATATTTGCTAGTTCCTGGTCCCAGATAACTTACTTCTCTCAAATCCATAATTTATTCCCTCTGAAAATATGATTTTGCCTGTGCATGACAGGGATGCTGGGTAGAACTGTTGAAGGAGGGAAAAGAAGCTGATTTAAATTTATGTTCCAGATTTAAACTCTAATCAAATGAGTCACCATTAATCCAACAGTATGTGGGAGCCTAAGACTGCGCACTGGAGAACACCTTCAAGCTTTCTTTCAAGCTACAGAGGACTTTCACGAAAAAGTCAAATTAAAAAGTCTTTAACTCAAGCCAAGGTAGTCTGAAGATGACACTTTGTATAGACACGTGAATTTACCAAGATTAATTTTAACTTTCACTTTCTATAATTGTGTGAACGTTTTCAACCCTGTGATTATTAAGCTTAATCTTTTAATGCTAGACATTTCAAACGTTTTCTGACTCTTCACTCCATTGTTATTGATCTTGAATTTCTTTATTTGCCTTCTAAGAAGGTATTGTTTCTTGTTATCACAAAGAATCATGAACCCAATTATACTTGCCCTTGTTTTACGGGTAATAATAGAATATAAATGGCAATACGGATTTCATTATCCTAACCCACTTGGTCAAAAAAAAAGTAAACTTCGATTTTTTAGGGTATAGCAATTTATCATAAGTATTTATTGCTTTTTCTCTCTTGGAATCCAGATTACAAAGAGCTATTTCAAATTTTTTTAATTCCTGAAATAGTTGAAAATTTATTTTTGAAGAGAAAATTCTATTTAAGAGAAACATAAAATAAGAATACTTAATTTTAATATCAAATAACTTTCTCATGCACCAAATGGAGGATAGTAAATCTGTACAGTAAATTTTGCTTAGGTTTTGAATTGCTTAAACTTAATCTTTTCTCCTGCAATAAGACTATTTAACCCTGTTCTCTTATGTTTTCCATTTCCATCGATGCATTTGTGTTGGTCTTGATATATACTTCCTATTCCTGAGTTATTGTTACACATTTCACCTCACAGGAATAGCATCAGCAATACTTGCCTACATTGAATACATAAAATACACATGTGAAATGTGAAAATAAATAATAAGTGAAAACATTAATTTTCATTACTCTGCTTTGCATTCTGACAAACTCACTACGTTGAAAATACATGCCATGTTATATCTAGAGTCTAGCTGTCTTACAGCAAAGTTGCCCATGGGAACAAAGACTATGGAATGCCCTTGATCTGGTAATACCCTACACATTTGACGGGTGAATCCTAGTGCTCTGTTACAAGTGTTCTAGTTTGGACTTGGTTACTGATGTACAGGAATTGCACAACTGGGAATCTGAGGTTATAACAAATCAATTCTGCTCCCTGAGCCATGAAAAGTGCCCAGAACACCCTTTTCCTTCTAAGAATGTAATAGAGACAAGTTCTATTTCTGTTTTTATGATTCTCTAGGACAGCTGAACTCTGGTGCATTTTATAGGATCATTCAGTTAACATTCCTCCAATAGCTTAAAAGGCGATAAATAAAAATAAATGAGTTCATTTTGGGACATGAGGAAGCTCTACATCTGCCCACACCTTTTCTGTATATAATTGATTGGCTTCTTCCATGTCTTCCTACATGCCTCCTTCCCAATTCCTGCATCCTCCAGTAAAAAATAAGATACAGACTGCACATGTATACCTTCTCGGCCCCTACAATTTTCTTTTTCATTCATTATATAGTTTTCCCAGGGGAATTAAGTGCAATTTCCACTTCTTGATTATCACCATTAATTAGAAGCAGTGCCACAAATCATAGCTACTTGATTTTGGAATGAATTAGAGTATTTTAACACTGGTTTGGCTTCAGTTTTATTTTATGTACTATAATACTCTTTTCTTGAAAACATTAATCAATGAATGTAGTGTAGGAGTGTATAGTGTGGTAGGGAGAATATGGGAGTGGGGGAGAGTTGCCACATATTTTCCAAAAGGTAAATTAGTCTTTTTTTTTTTTTTTTTAGCTCCCCCCCCCCCCATCCTGGTGGTATAAGTTTCTTGTTGGCAGTGAGGAGTAGGAGTCTGTGTTTGCTTAAAACAGTGGTACCCAATCATAAGCATGTGTAAGAGGTTCCCTGGGTCTGTGAACATAAATTGAGAAATACTGGAAAAGTCAAAGAAAAAATGGTGAACCACTATTAATACCCTTCTAGTTTGCATATGAAACTGTGTGTGTGTGCACATGTGTATATTCGGCTGGTGTGAGGTTTGCTCACAAAACACTCCCACTATGATTTACATTATGTTATACCATAACCAGGAACTATTAAACATAATTCTTTCCTTTGATTGCTTTTTGTTTCATTGGTAAAGTAGCTGATAAAATGATTTGGGATGAAAAGAGTAATACAAGACGTAAGCAGATGGAATCTCCCGTGCCCAGCTTTAACATACCCATGTTAGCTTGTTCACCTCAGACCTTCTTAGGAAGGCACTGCATCTACAGGTAAGAGCATAAACAATCTTTTATTCCTTGGTTACTTCAATACGAGGAAATATATTATTGTTTTTCTATATTGATAATTTTTACAAGAAATTGAATGGACAGTATTAATTTATTTCAACAAAAGCATGAACTTTATCCTTGAACTCTAAGTCAGATTGAAAGAGATGACCTACAGATGAAAAACACCTTAGACCCTTTAATTACTTTTCTAAACTATATTCGAAAGAGAAATTCTCAATTGACGAAGTCTCCTAAGGAGACTTTCCTCTGTTAAGTTTCCTGTTAACTTAATGTAATTGGTCTTCCTGAAAGAAGAAAAATAATTTCTGTAAGTAGTTATATGTGAATATTCTTGCTGACTATATCCATAAAGATGAAATACAGTGCTATCCATAGATATTGCAAATTTGGAAGTAGGACTAAGTGTTTTCATGTATAGAATTACAGTTGGTCTCTTCCCCCTTTGTGAATTACTCTCCTTTGGATAAATTGCTCTTGTTTTGATTATCCTAGTCATTGAAATATTATGAACTGTTCCTAGAAATATTTGGCACTTCATTTTAAATGAAATGTACAATTAACATGAGAAAAGTGAGTATTAGTATTCCTAGAAAAAATGATATCAAGGATTTATTCCTATTTAACATTAAAACTTTATCCCACATTGTCTTTTTTCAATGTACTTATGACCTCAGTACATTGCCAAGGAAGTGAAATTTGGATTCCTCATAATGTTCTCAGAACACAATACAATAAATTGTCAGCTAAATTTCCATCATGTCCTGGTAAAATTGCTCAGTAACATGTAATTAACCATCTACTTATTAGGAAACAATTCAAATAATCTGTCCAGTTTACATAATTTGAAAACAAATCAGTGTTACATTTAGCAATACCTTAGAAATTTTCTTCCTTTAAACTACTGATAAAAATGTGTATATTACTTTCTATCAGATTATATTTCAAGATGTTTTACTTCCCTTGCATTGAGACCACTAAAAACTTCACAGAAGCTGTATATTAGAATGAATAAAGGACATGCCGTTATCAACATGGAAAATGGAAAAGACTTTATTCATAGAATTCTTTATTTATGACAACTATCAGCTTATTGAATTATTTAATTTATCTAACTGATTTTAAGAGTGTAATATGTTTGGTTTTTTTTTTTTTTTTTACCACATGTATTAAATTGTTACCTATAATGTCATCCTGGAAAAGTAGAATTATTTCTAAGGTTTGTTACAAATGCACAATTTATATATACATATAATTGGAATCGGGGATGATTCTTAGTAATCTACTATCCCTTAATTCAACGATGGTCATTAGCTACCTGACCCATTCTGTAAATTTAGCATACACTCATATGCATGTGCATGCATACACACGTGTCCATTATTGCTTTTATTCTCAAATGGATTTCTCACCTAATGTTTTTGTACAAATACTTGATCTATTCATGTAATGGGAAAAGTTGCCAT